GAAGCTGAACCGCAGTTGATGAAGTTCTTTTCAGGGAAAACATAATCCGAGGCCAAAGTGAAAATAGAAGAAAAGTGAAAGAGAAACAGAAAAAAAAGATAGATAGAAATCTCGTGGAACAGAAATTTTTCCATGGTTAATCTCACTGATGGAGAATTATTGTTTACTGATATGATATAATGGGTGTGCAGGGATGAATAAATGAATTATTGAATGATAATAAGACAGTGCAAGCAAGAACATGGGCGAGGGGCGAAGTTGACTTGACGCTGACTTGTAGTTGCTTGTTTCTTTTTGTTTAATTTTTGATTCCAAAATGAGAATAATTGAGGATTTTTTTGTTTTTGTTTAAAAAAAAAAGTTAATGGCAGAAAACTCCCCCCAAAAACGTTTAAATATCTAATTTACCCTCTATCTATTGAAAATTACAGAAAACCCTCATATTTGAAACTTTTTGTACAAAAAACCCTCTGCCGTCAACATTCGTCGGATTTTCCGTTAAAAATAGTAAAAAATGTCAAAATTAAAAAGAAATAATTGCAATTTCAATACCAAAAATTTTACTTTTTTCACAAGTTAAATCCAAATGTTTTAGTTATTTTTCAATGTTCAGAATGTTCTTTGTCTGTTATAGTTATTTTTTTAACTTTCTCTTCATTATTATAGAAGGAGGTTTAAATTATAATTAAATAGAAATGATTGGTGGATAAATGAATAATATTGGTAGATGATAGAACTATGTGGGACAAGAAAAAGCGAGTTAGATGTTATAAACATTGGCGAAAGCAGGTTTGGTGTGGTGGGAATCAACTTCAATTAATCTTCTTCCTTTTTTCTTTCTCTTTTTTCCTCTACAACAGCCGTTGCGGCCAGGCTGAACCGCTCATGTGGTGGCGATCCTCACTTATGAAGGCCGCAATTAATTACAACCAAAACAAGGCAGAGACTTTAATAGCGGATGCGCATTTGATATCTAATATGGATTTTGATGCAAGTCTCTTGATCTCTTTTGCTCGAATACTTTCCAAGATACAGAATGCAGACACAAAATGGTAAAAATTTATGACATTTAACCGCTAATTGACATTTATTATAAAACTATAAGTACTAGGATATATAACACTAGTTATAAATTCCCAAAAACAATTCAAGCTACGTTCGAGAGAACCTGGTGAAGAACATTGCGGGCTTTACACCTTGCCTCAAGTGGCACAGCTTTGGGCATAGAGATCCCGAATCCCTCTTTTAAATCAACCTTCTTTTCATTAATCCTTTGCCATTCGAAACACTGTATTAAAGATCCTAAGGTCAAACCCACCATCCGTTGGGCTAGGCAAGCACCAGGACATGACCTCCTTCCCATTCCAAATGTCATCAATTTTGGTGGTCCGACTTCCCCAACTTCAAATCACTCTAGCTTGAGGCTTGTGGGCTCATCCCAAACCGTGGGATCCCTGTGAAGGGTCCAAGCATTGATGAGCAAGATTGTGCCACGGGGTATATCATAACCTCCAATTTTACAGTTATTTGATGCTTCATGTGGCACGAGTAATGGAGCTGCTGGGAACAATCTAAAAGTTTCAGAAATAATTGCTTGTAAGTAATGAAGTTTGGATAAATCTGATTCCACGACCAGACGATCATTGCCCACAAGACTGTCAATCTTAGCTTTAGCCCTTTCCAGCTTCTCCTGGTGGTTGAGCAAAGCCGACAAAGCCCATTCTATGGTCACTGCAGAGGTATTTGTCCCGGCATTTAACATAACCTGTCATTTACAAATTCACACATCAAATTAAGTTCAAATTCAAATTGTTTTTAATGCTCCAGAAGGACATGAGAAAAAAGAATTGAAAGTTTTACCGTCATAATCCCTTTGATGATTGTATCTGTGTAATATTCTGGCTGTGATTCTTGCAAAGAAAGCAAATGATCTATCATGGTATTTCCATTCTTGTTATGACGATGCTCCTCAATCAGACCTTGCAAGAATGCATCCATCTTTTCACTTAGCCTAGCCAAAACAAACTCACAAGATGAAGGTTAAAAGAAGGAATGTAATCAATCTCTCACAGATGTAGCTCTCTCAATATTCAACCTTAGAATTTTTGTACAGTAGTGTTTTGGTATTTAAATGTAGGTTAGAAAAATGAATGGGCCAAGGAAAAAGCCTTTAAAACGCGAAACAAAACTTTCCCGAATAAAGTGTCGCTCGACCGAAGACAGGGCGACAGTCAAGCGATGAAGTTTCTGCTTTTGTAGCTCGAGCCAAACCTTGGAGACAGTCTAGCGAAAATCCACGCCATTTTCCACTTTTTGCCATTCTCGAACCCTAAACCTAATAACCCTATTTTCAACGTATTTGCACATTACTCCTTGAACTTTTACAATATGTCAATTTCAGTCCTTTTGTTCACAGAATCACCAATTACAAATAATCTAAAATCTAACAAACTCCCCATTTGGCATTCTGTGACAAAATTACAAATTAAGTCAAGGCAGTAATCAAATGAAAATTACAGACTCAAAAAATGACTTAAACTTAAATATGTCTTGAACAAAATCCTCATTTCAGTTTCAATACCTGTTTCTTGAAATAGACAACTCAAATACTCATTGTAAAACGTGTGAAAAACATGATCAATAATAAATATAGTTCAAATAGTTTAAGTGTAAGAATCATTTAAACATTTGTAACTCATAGCTAAACTCAGACATAGTATCAATAGAACCCAACATACCAAAACGAAACATTGACTCAACAAAAACTGAATTTAACGAACTAAAATTAAATAATATGCCTTTGAGCCAAAATCAAACAAGTTGGAATTTTTACTCCCCATTTTTGTCACAAAATGACAAGGGATAAAGAACAACATACAACATCTTAAGAATGTAGGTGTAAGCAGTCAAAAGTATATGCAATGAACTATAAACAAGAATGCTCATATATATTGTATTCATCTTAAGTATAGGCTTATTTTCATTAAGCGACTAACATGACCCTTGTAACGAGCTTTAGGCCGGTTAACCCAAGTCGCATGACCATAGGCACCAGGTTATGAGAAACCCCACAAGCTTAATTACTCAAGTCAAGTAGGCTTCCAAAAATAGTATAAGAGATTGAGCTCCTTTAATTTCAATTTTTCATTACATGTTTATGTATTATTGCAGGGATAGTCTCGAGCTTAGGTCTAAATAAGTTGGTCAATTCATGTTCAAAGTCAGCCTACTAACATGTGACTGCCATCCCAAATCTTACACACGCGGTAGAGTCCCACTATCAAGTTCATAGTATGTGTAGTGTAGATGGTATATGAAGAGACCTATATTAAATACTTCAAAAATATCCTAAGCCAGCAATAGGAAATACATTGCAGATCACTAAATAAACTCATGCTAGATTACGACCAACAAAATCAAGTGTATTGTATATCATGTTGTAAAACAGTTTCCTGCATAAAAATGTTGTGTTTTCCCTTTCTTTTTTATTTTTCTTTTTAAATAATAACATGAATGCACCAAGCACACAAAACAAAAGAAAATGCACACAACCAAAACATACAAACAGAAAATAGAAACACATGAGAATAAATAAATAAACATGATGCATGCATGATTCAAAATCTCATAATAGTAGAATACTAGCATGTATCAAATATACTCAATCAATAAGGTGCACAAATATCAATAACTATTCTAAGATATTCGAACCCAAGCCCGTCCAACAGTATAGTAAACAAGTCAGCTAATTGGCTTTAAGTATAAATATGTTCAAGATTAACAATTTGGGTTTCCACAATCTCTCGAATGAAATGATGNCAACATACGAAAATGAAACATTGACACTACAAAAACATCAAAAACTCAATTTAGCTAACTTAAATGCCTTTAAGTCAAAAAGCATTTTATATATATGTCAAAAAGAATTACATCCATATAGTAGATACATCATGTAAGCATCAAGAAAAAAAAAATTACTATTTAAGCATCAACAAAAATCTATTATCTATCCTCCCCATATCAACAAAAACTGATACTGCTACATCAATATCTACTCCCCTTTTTGTCACACAATGACAAGGGGAAGCCTAGAGCTAAGAGTGATCGGCAGTATCATTAGCGTCGTCAGAGTGAATCCTCTCTTTAGAAGCTTCATCCCAGTGGCGATGAATCCACCGAATCCCACGCTACAGGTATCCGACAGCACCCCAAAGTGTAGCGAACTCGGTAGTTTGTCTATCAACGGTAGTACGCATCTATGTGATCTCTGCCATCATCCGAGCCTACTGCTCGATCAACATGGTTATCTATCCTAAGAGAGCAACCGAGGGGTCAATGGGAGCAGAAGGGACTGACTCGGAAGGAGGAGAGACTAACATCAAGAGAGGAGGAGCCGAAGTAGATGTAGATGGAATATCAGAGGGCGGATGAGTAGAGGGAAAATTTGAGGAGTCAAAGCAGATCAGGTCATCAATAGGGTCAAGGGTCAGCCGGCACAGTCGGGTCAATTGGCTGTGCCAGCTCAGAAGAACCATGAGACAGACTCTGAGCAATAGTAGTATGGCCAATAGGCCGAGCAACCCGCAGCGGAACCCCCTCAGAAAAGCTAGCTCCTAAGGCTATAACTAACCTAAAGATAAGGTAAGCATATGGCAGCCCTACCCTCGTACCCGTCGTACGTAAAGCCCTCAAAATATGCTGGCATATAAAAGAAGGTAGATCAATGGAATGTCATGCAAAAGGACGTATAGGAACCGGGCCTTCTCCATAGGTAATGAAGAAGTGTGAGACACGGGCCAAAGATTCGTGCACACGATGCGCAACAGAATCTGGCGCTCAGTCGGAAGAGATCCAGTGCGAATAGCATCGGGACCTCCCTCCAAGGGGTCCGCCGAAAGAGAATCGGGAGTAAGATAAGGAAACATGGGATGGACTACTTGAGGAATATGGATAAGACTCGAAATAATGTCCGAAGTAATCTTAACTACCCTTACCCCAAAGAAAAACCCAAAAAGAAGAACCAATAACATCATAGATGTTAGCGTAGAACTCCTGGACAAGAATGCTCGATGGGGGAACTAATCCAACCAGTAATGGCTCCCAACCCCGAGAAGTAAAGATGGCAGCGAGGTCGGGGGATAAATCAGACATGATAACCTCACGCTCGACCAAAACAGGACGCAAGGTAAACTGCGACCCAAAAACATCTTGAGCGACAGCAGAGATGAACCTAGACCTAGTAAATGAAGTGGAGGTACTAGGGGTGGAGGGGGTCGTGCGTGTTTTCTTAGGCGGGATATGAAATAATTGAAACACAACATTAAAACCTCGAAATAAGATGAACTAAACCATAATATGCATGGTATGCAACAGTGCACGCAAAATGGATAAGTATGTATATATGCAACGTGCCCTAACAAGAATGCATGAGAACGTGCAGTGATGCCTAGACGTAAGGGACGTGAAGACATGACACATGTCGTGATGTCTAAACACAGGGGAGTGATTCACGACGTAGTGATACGACGCCATAACGTGGTGACTGTTCACGAAAATATGTTTCGAGTTTGAATCACCGCAAGTGTACGGTTCGTTGACAAGTAATAAAGTGGAAATAGTAAAATTTCGAGTATCGTTCCCACGAGGATTGGTCTAACTTAATTTCTGTTATTGTGACCTTAACCGAAACTATAAACTCAAGTGATAGTCGTAATGATTTTCCTATGAAATTGTAAATAACATGCAAATTAAACTAAA